AGAAATTTGGACCGGATTTGGTGGAAGCTTTCATTTCATCATTTCATCATTCCCTCCCCACTTAATTTACTTTTGAAAACTTTATGAGTTGTTGTGCGCTCACAAACTAACTGAAATTAACACTGGAAACTACTCGGTTTTCAGCCATACAAACTCAAAAATTGCTTTCAATCTTCGAAATGGGCATGACAAACTGATTTGTGGAAATTAGAATTAGACTCCGAAAACTGCGCTCTTTACCTTAAGAGGGACCTGTGACAAACATATAATCATGATAACCTGTCATAAGAAAAAAATGCCTAGAGATAAACCATTGTTTTTTCTAGGCTAAGCGTATACTTGCTGCTGGAGGATGGGTTGAATTTAATCGAGTCAATGGCAATCTTGCACTCTCTCGTGCTCTTGGTGATTTCGTATTTAAAAGGAATGAGGCTATCCCTCCTGAACAACAAATTGTAACAGGTGAGTCACCGAGACGATACGATAGTATTTTTGAAAGGTCATCTGTTCTGGATTAATTTCGCCCACACTATTGGCCTGTTAATCAGCTGAATAACAGTTATATTATTTGTTCACCTGAACTTTATTCATTACTGCCGCATTCGGCTTGTTTGATGTGGGGGCGTTTTCCGAAACCCTTTCTTTAGTAACGGTACAAGTTTTCGTTTACAGGGTGCCTGTAAAATTCCACTAGCTTCCCCGTTCTTCCATCAATTTGTAATCAAACTTGAGTTTCACTTCCTGCCATGAGATATGGCCTTTGATTTTAGCGATTGCTGTTTTGTTGACCATCGATTGATGTTTGGTTTACGCATGCGCATGCGATTATCAGTTCGCTATGACCCGATGTGCTTTCGTCGATGTTCATTGTTCTGTGGTTCAGCACGTAGCACGCAGGGGGTGATGGCAGACTGAATGACTCTGAGTTTAGAGTGATTTCAGAGTGTAAGGTGTGAAGATTTTCCTAGTGTTGGCCTGTACATAGGGAACCTAACGTTTCATGAAGCAGAGCGTACGTGCGATTAGCCATAGCGCAACGTCTCCTTGTAATATGGTGTAGATATGTATATCGGGTCATAGAATACATTGCTGAAAGAGATTACCCGGTGCGATCTTCCAAAAGATGGTCTCAATATTGGCTTGATTAGTTTATATGTCTCTATCCATCCTTTTTTGGGCAGCGCGACTCCGAGACGGGAGAGCTCCGGAGGCAGTGTTGCTACTGCTCCTTTTCCGTGTAGTGGGCCCTGTGGCACGACCTTCCAGAGCGACCCTTTGCCAGACGACGTCGCTTTTAATCGTAACAACCAGGGTGAAAATCGTGTCAAGGAAATGGGCGCATCTCTACGACCCTCTCCCCTTACCGTGGGTTTCCATACGAGCTCCTTCTCACCCCCGCACATCTGGTGCAACGCTTCGCGGGTCAAATCCCAAACCAAGTTTTGCACAGACTGGCTTCTTTTATCCTTTCAGGATTACTCAGTCTAAGCCACATTTACCAGGAAGTAGAAAAGGGAAGGAGGTAGTGAGTACAGGCAGCTGAGCAGTCTCGCGTTCCGGTATAGACGACGCTAACCTTCCGCGGTCGCTTCGCGTGTGCCTGTCGATTGGAGCGCACCAGTTGGGAAAACTTCCTACAACCATTTCAGAGAAGGAAGGCAGATTTAATATATTCGCGTGACCTTAGTTTTCTTCTACTTGTGCTGAGCTTTTTTTTTTCAAACACGTTGTACCCAGCGAGTTGGAGACGTCAGGATCTGTAGAGGACGTTGAAATTTACCTGCGAGTTTTCATCCTCTGGGCGATAATTACTTTCTTCAATTACAATCTTTCGAAAATCTAAGAAAACCGTTGTGAAGGAAGATCTACTTTTTCTGAAAGGTGCTGCAGCTGTTTCGAAAGCTCTGGTTCGCGAGATATCTGCGTCGAGTATCTATTGAGGACAACTTCCGAGTCAATCGGAAATCCTATTCTTCCATTGCCGATGCATCGAACTTCTTTCAAACCCTTAAAATGCTTCTGGGACACATTGTCTCGATGAAGTGAGCACGAATTGAAGCCCTCGCTGCAGATCCATTCCCTTCTGGTATGCGCCATGCAGTGACCCCACACGGCGTCAGTTGAAAGGTGCCTTGCCTACAAGACAGCTTGCTTGTGCAAACCAAAAGCGTTTCTAGTTTTGGTCAAATGGACTAACGTTTATGGCTATAGTACAGCCTGTTCATTGCTTCCTTTACTGTTTCCTTTCCAACCTTGTTCTGATTTTTGTATTTGTGGCTGCACCATGTAATGAAAGCCAATGGTCAAGAAGGCTGCGAGTCTCCCCATTTTTAACTGCCGATTGAGCTCCTGTTGCTGCAAATATTCTTAAAGCGCTTACATCAATTTAGAGTTAATATTTCACATTTACATTTCCATCTATTTTTACACGGCAACAGGCACTTTCCATTTTTTCATTTAGTTGCTTTAAACCAACTGAACAATTTTTAAAATTAGTGTAGACACAACGAGTGGGTGGCAGCAGCACCGTTGTGAACGTTGTTGGTCCTGCTTACTACCCCCTAACCTCACTTCAGAGTGAACGACTCCCCTTTAGACGATTTCCCCAGCCGTTTTTTACCCTGGTAGCAACCCATAGCGTTGACAAAATTCTTACGTTTCTCTCAGCTTAGATCTTCGAAGGTGACGTGGCGCTGATTAGTCTGATGGAGCGGTTCCTACATCTTAAACGGCTCCAAAAACGTATTGAATCTATTTCTCGATGGCAAGATCGATTTAAATTAGTTGCATTTCCCACAGTTGCGTTTGTCAACGTGAGTATTCGTTAGCTTCCTCTCGTCTATTATGTCTACGATTCCAGTGCCATATATTGCCGAAGAGTTACAAAAGCGCGTTTACTTGGATGCAATCAACGCGCACTTGCTCATTTTCTGGTGCTTTTCTTGAGCTTGGACGACACAGTCATATGCTCATGTTTGAATTCTCTCGTTGATATATTCAGCTTATCCGGATGTGATCACGGAGAACGTGACAGAAGATCACGAGTTCGTAGTACTTGCATGTGATGGTATCTGGGACGTACTCAGCAATCAAGAAGTGGTCGACTTTGTACGCGAAAGGCTAGCTGAAAATAGGGACCCACAAACAGTGAGTGCTACATTCAGTGTTTAAATATTGAATGAAATAAATTAAAGAGCAAGACGACTCAAGATTTGGATTCTTGAATAATTGTCCATGGAGAAATAGCTTTGATTTGCCTGCAACAGACAACATATTAGTCCGATTGCGCTCTGGTGGATGAAACATGTGGTGTCGGATCTTTCGTTTTTTTTTTGCCATCGGCTAACATGTGATAGTCAAATGTCACAATGTTCATGAGCTATAAACAGAGCTCAGGGATGTTTTAGAAAAGATAGCTTCAACACGTTGACGACAGCGTGCAGCTCATGCGCTGCGCACTTTGAGCACCGTGTGGGACCATGCGCAGCGCATGAGCTGCATGCTTCACAGTTGCTTCACACTCAAATAGTTATTTTTTCACACTTGCTCTGCCTCTTTTCTATTTTTTTGGAATTAATCCATAATCACATCACAACGGACCGTAAACGGCGTGGTTGCCCGAATGTTTGAATATTCTTCACTTAAGCGGAAGATTCTCAAGTTTCTAAAAATTCTTTAGTTTGGTTCATTCTCCGTTTTCTCTGGATTCCTT